TGTAAATTTCCGTCATTAAGTGAAAAGGTGAAAGTTCTTAATAAGGAAAGAAAAGAATCATATGCTGAGGTTGCTAAAATGTACAGTAAGAACAAATCTGTCAGCTATGAAATAGTGAAGGAGGGCCAGGCGCAGTGGCTCATGCCTGTAATCCCAGCACTTTGGAAGGCTGAGGCAGTGGATCACTTGAGGCCAGGAGTTCAAGACCAGCCTGGCCATCATGGTGAAACCCCATCTCTACTAAAAATACAAAAAATTAGCCAGGTGTGGTGGCATGTGCCTGAAGCCTCAGCTACTAAGGAGGCTGAGGCAGGAGAATCACTTGAACCAAGGAGGTGGAGGTTGGAGTGAGCTGAGATCATACCACTGCATGTCAGCCTGGGTGACAGAGTGAGACTCCATCTTTTAAAATAAAAACAGTGAAGGAGGAAAAACCCTATAGATACTCCATGCTAAGTATCTATAGGGTTCAGCCCTATCTGAGGTTCTAGGCATCCAATGGGGTGAGAGGAATTACCCTATTGCCTTCTTTGTTTTATGAAATTTTTCAAACTCAAGAAAGATATAGAGAATGTTGAGCAATGTTCATCTGCTCACCTCCCGATCTGCAGTGTGTTTATTTGCCTAATTTTTTCTTAATCACAGATTCCATTAAGCCCCTTCTGTGCTTCTCAAACAGAACCATGTTTTCATCAGTTGTCTAATTGGGTTATGGTAATGGGAGCAAAAACTTTTATTTTAAAATAATGTTTATTGTGTATCTGGCCAACTTGCTAAACTTGTAATTGTGCTAATAAGTTTTCATTGGGTTTGCTTGAGTTTACCGAGTGGAATTTTCCAAGTGTCAGTGAGCAATCACAGAACTGCCTCCTCTGGTTCAATATTCGTGTCTTTAATTTCCACTTCGGTCTCATGGGTTCGTCTGCCCTCCTCCCTTGCTGTGGCTGATACACTGGCTGGGAGGCAGGGCTCAGCTGCTGCTGCTGCCTCCTGGAGTTTCCCACGTGCGGGATGCGGTAGGTGCTCTTCAATCCCCATCAGCCAGCTAGTGAGTTTCTCCTCATGTCTTTAAATCATCAATGGTGCTGACTTTAATTAGCTGTTTTCCCAGCATCTGTCAAGATGCTTCTCAGCCTTTCTGCTAATATAGACCTGTGGTTCTCAAATTTTGTGGCTTTAAGACTCTTTTGCCTTCCTAAAAATTATTAAAGACACTAAAAAGTTTATACAAACTCTACAAAGTTTGCATAAACTTTTGTTTATATAACAAACTTTTGTTTGTATAAACTTTTGTTTGATTATACAAACTCTACAAAGTTTTGTTGAGGGCTAACAAAAATAGAAATCCTAAATAAATAAAGATAAAAATCCCAGCCAGGCATGGTGGCTCATGCCTGTAATCCCAGCACTTTGGGAGGCTGAGGCAGGTGGATTGCCTGAGCTCAGAAGATCACGACCAGCCTGGGCAACATGGTGAAACCTCGTCTCTACTAAAAAAAAAAAATACAAAAAATTAGCCGGGTACGGCGGCATGCACCTGTAGTCCCAACTACTCGGGAGGCTAACACAAGAGAATTGCTTGAACCCAGGAGGCAGAGGTTGCAGTTAGCCAAGATCATGCCACTGCACTCCAGCCTGAGCAACAGAGTGAGACCTTGTGTCAAAAAAAAAAAAAAAAAAAATCCGAATCCTTAATGGGAAGACCCTGTAATGTGGTAAAAGTCAGATCCTGCTGCGTGGATTCTAAGGTCTACGCCTTCTGCATTGAAACATCCCTGAAACAGACACATTTGACAGTCAAGGGCATATCTCAGCTTCACTGGCAGCATGTTTTTCCTGCCCAGTAGTAAATATAATAATAATTTATATTAAAAGAAATGATGTCTGATTTAATATGCACTTTATACCCCTTAGCTTATTCATTCTGTACACCAACCCTGCAAGTCGTATCAGGTGTAATTATTGCTCCATGTTACAGGGAACGAAGCTGAGAGAGAAGTTAAGCAGCTATCGCACAGCGAGGGAGTGGCAGAGCCGGGATTCAAACCCAGGTGGTCTGGTCCCAGGGTTTGCTCCAACTCTGGTCCCAGGTGGTCTGCTCCACCTCTCAAAGGGTCGAATTTCTTCAAAGTCATCAGAATTCAATCCAATGTCAATTAAAGCCCCCAAAGGTGAAAGAACATGGACTGGGATCTCGACCTTCTAGATAACAAGCGCTGTAGTAGCTGCATCAGTCATGCGCCGTGAAGGGACAGATGAGTTGATGTATAGGGTGGCCTGGGCCAGACGCGGAGCCTGTGGGCAGGAATGAAGTGTGTGGTTGAATGCAGGTTGCACCTCAAATTAGGAAGGGGGTGATAATGAGTTATTCGTGTGTCAAAACAAAATAAAGACAAAAGAAGTTAAACCTCTAGTTCACATCATACCCGCAAAAATTCTAGATGGGTTAAAAACCAAACATAAAAATCAGAGTGTTTGGCTGGGTGAGGTGGCTCACGCCTGTAATCCCCAGCACTTTGGGAGGCCAAGGCAGGTGGATTGCCTGAGGTCAGGTGTTTGAGACCAGCCTGGCCAACATGATGAAATACTTTCTCTACTAAAAAAATACAAAAAATTAGCTGGGCATGGTGGCAGGTGCCTGTAATCCCAGCTATTCAGGAGGCTGAGGCAAAGAATCTCTTGAACCTGGGAGGTGGAGGTTGCAATGAGCTGAGACTGCACCATTGCACTCCAGCCTGAGTGACAAGAGCAAAACTCTGTCTAAAAAAATAAAAATCAGAGCATCTACAGATGACTCTGAAGATGCAGAGACACAGGAATGGGGAAAAGCAGGCAAACGGAGGTATGTGAAAGCACTCTCACTAGCAGGCAGCAAATGCCAAGTCTACCCACGAGAGGTCATTTTCTACCCAGTGGGTTGGAGGGAACTGTACAGATTGGGAGCATCTGGGATGGTGAGGATGCAGGGAGATGGTCCCTGTCCTGCGTGGCTGGGAGGAGGGTCTCATGAGGAAACTAATGGGTCATTCAAACTAAGACACCCAAGAGAATTTCATAAGTAGGTGGTTTACAAGGAGGGGACCGGGAAAGAAAGCCACAGGTAAAGGTTGATAACTGATGTTGTTATCACACTCCTGAGTCTGAAGGGACGAGGGAGGAGAAGTTTCTGACCCAGAAGGAGAGACCTGGATCAAGAGATCCAACCCTACTACACATGACCCCACAGAGAGGGAGCCAGGAGTGAGATGGCCCCATCCCCTCCCTCCCTCCCTCCCTCCCATTGGCCACACCTAGGAGTAGGCTGGAAGTCTCAGGAGCCAGTCAGTGACATCCTCATGGGACAGGTGCCTGGGCAAAAAACAGCCATTATTTGTTTATTACCTAAGTGGCTCAGGAACCCATTTCCACAGCTTTCCACCCACTCTTGTGAGCTACAAGCCACCACAGGGAAAGGAGGCAGGCCGTGTTTTGGGGGAGGGGAGGCTATTCAACACCAGGAATAGCCTCCATGCTGGCCCAAGCCCCTGAAACCCTTGCCCATGCTGGTCCAAGACCCTAAAACCCTTGACCACGCTGGCCCAAGCCCCTGAAACCCAGCCCTGCCCACCACACAGAGATACAAGGCTCTCTAGACAGAGGGCCTCCAATGGAGGGGCATGGGGCAGTGGGGAGCCCTCCCCAGCTACTCCAAGGGAAGAACTATAGCTCCAAAATGTGACAGAGCACACAGGACACGCACTGTTTGTTTGGTGGTGGTATACCGACCCCGACTTCTCACCTAAGCAAAACAAAGCAAATGCGAGCCGGGAGAGGCCAGCATTGGGAAGGGCAGGGTGCCTCATGTGTGACTGTGGCTTTCCTAACGAGAACAGTGCCCCAGGGCCATTTCCCCACACAAAGCCACCTCAGGCTTTCAGAAGGGGGCCCATGAGGGGTACCAGAAGCTCTACTAGAGAGTGTTCACCCACCTCTGTAACCTGCTGAGCTCTGACCCCATTTCGGGGCAACGGTGATCAATGATGAAACCAAGGAAGGCAGTGGAGGGAAGGGGCTGGGAGGCTCTGTGGTGAGGGCTGGGCGTTTCCTGGCTGGTTCTCCCGGTCCCTGCTACCCTGCCTGCTGTGACACTGGAAGTGGCAGGGATAGGCATCAGCTGGCTTGCTTTGGAGGCACTTGACCACCCTGCTTGGCAGCCTCCCTGTGACTTGCACTTGCTCATTTCCCTCCAGATGTTCTCCCCAAAGCCTCAGGCACCCACTGCTTTCGCCCTCAGCCCCCAAAGCCAAGGAAAAGACCAAGAAGGCAGAGGCCTTCCTAGCCAGGCAAGGAGGGATGTCCTGCAGGGTAGATCCTCAGAGGGGCTCCCCAGAGGGTCTACCGGGCCGTTGGGGGGCAGGCACCACAGCAGGGGCCGAGGCTGGAAGGCCAGCTTGCACCGCTGTGGACAGCTCAGCCTCCTGGCTCCATCAGGGCTATGGAGACTGTCTGGCCAAGGCCCCTCCCATGTCTCCCACCCACCCACCTAAGCTCTTCTGGATGAAGCTGGCAAGATGGGGACTCCTGAGACCAGTACCTGGTGGCAGGAGGTGGGAGCATCAGGAGGAAGAGGTGGGATTTGGGGTACAAAAACAGAGGGCAGCCCCTGCTGCTGGGACAGGCACAGGCTTTTCCTCCAGCTCCTGCCTGCAGAGCTTCATGCTGGGTCAAGATGCCAGAGAGTCACCCTAGCCACCACCCTGCATGGTTCCACACCACACATGGAGAAACTGAGGCTTGGGGAGGCTGAGAGAAGGGCCGTGTTCACCTACCCAGAAATCAGGGGGCCAGGATGGAGCCCCATTCTGCCGGACTCCAAGCCCATATGTTACCGCTGTGCTGCCATGGGGCAGAGGAGCTGTGCTGTGTGGGCACTCCCAGATCTACAATCCCAGGCCCCATATCTGGATGCCCCCAATTGTGGGCCTGACCCTGGGTGGGCCCAGAGGAGATGGTGGCAGCTCCACTAGGCTATCTACCCTGAGAGGGCAAGACAGTTACTGCCCTGTTCATTACTGCATCCCAGCACCCAATGCTCTGCCTGCGGACAGGAGGTGCTAAATAAATGTGTGAGTCAGTCTGACTTAGCCCTTCGGGTTAAGGGGTTTATGTTCAAATAGATTTAAATAAACAGTTGCAGAAAAAGCAGCGTTAGAACTTTAATCAACACATTATATGCTGCCTTTGACTCTCCCTGTCTCCCAGAGGCTGCAACATTCTAGCTGTGCCTTGCAGGGTGTGTAGGAGTTTGTGGGGTGGGGATGGGTAGGAAGGGCACCTCTGGCAGAGGGAGTAGTCTGCCACAGGCAGTGAGGAGTGAGCATTTGGAAATGGCTGGTCTGGGCATGGCTGGAGTAACAAGCCTGGGGGCGGCTGTGGGGACTCAAATGGTGGCCACCGGGCAGACACCGTCCTGGGAGTCAAGAGGAACAGCCAAAGGGCTCGTGCAGGGGAAGCTACCCTGGGTGAGGGCGCTTGAGACAAGGGTTGATGCCCTGGGGTGGGGTATGGGGAGGGTGCAGAGAGGGAGGCTGGGGGTTAGAGGCCGCCCTCTTCAGCCTAGGGCCTCGTGCCATGGTCCAAGCGTCCTCAGGGCAGATTTGCTGCGTCGGGCTCTGCCCCTTCTCTAGGGAGCCAGTGGTACAGGGAAGGAGGGTCTGGGCCAGTGCTCACCACTGAGCTGTTTATTATCTCTACACCCCAGACTCCCCCTCAGCCCAATCACCACAGCCAGTGGTCTCAGTGTGGGGTTTCCAGAGCAGGGGGTGGCCCTGCTGCCTGCCACGTCTTGTCTGGGTGGCTGCCAATCTCGGGCCAGCTGTGTTTGCAGGGGACCCTGCATCTGACTCCACAGAGCCTCAGGCAGACACTTTCTCACACCAGCATCTTTCATTCATTCAACGAACAGCTGCTGTGGTTGGTTCTGGGAGACAGCAGAGAGGCACGAAGACAACAAGAGGCACGAAGCCCCTGCCCTCGTGGATGTGCCATTCCAGGACAGAGAGGCAGAGAACGAGGGGCCAAACAGACGAGGCTGTGCCCCCTCCCCTTCCCGGATTGTACTGGGGCCAGGCCTCTCTGCTATTTCACAGCGTGAGGCTAGCCCGGCAGCAGGGCTCATCTGCTCGTGTACAGACCCGTAGCTGATGCTCTTTCTGATTCCTCAAGCCAGCCAGGCGGTGAGGGAGGCGGCATCCAGGCCAGGACAGAAGGGGCCTGGGCCTCCCATGGCTCCCACCATCCCTGGGTGTCACAGCACTGGCCTTATGTCCTCGCTCTGCCCCGACCACCTGCTTCCCCATAATTACCCCTGCCGTTCTTCTTTCTCTCCTCCCACGCCCTCCTCCTCCTCACCCCCATCCGAATCTGCCATTGTTAGGCAGGCTCTGGGGCTGGAGGCTTGGATAGATTCTGAAGGGAGAGCAATGGGCAAGTCCTTGGTTTCATTCTTTGTGCCCAAGGGGAGACTGTGTCTGTAAGGTGAGTCTTCGGTGGCAGAGCTGCCCCATGGGTGCTCTAGAGACTCTGTCCTGAGGGGAGGAACTGCGCTGCACAGCTGAAGTGAAAGTCTGGCATGTCAGTCCGGCATGACATTTCCTCGTTATGTCCTGACGCTGGCCTGTGTCAGTCACAGTGGGTGCTCTCTTTCATCTTTTTATTAAAGCGAACAGCATTCAGCAGCGTCTGCAATCCTGTGCTCATAGAAGCAGAAAGGTTATAGGAAGATTACTTCAATATTAGGTTCCCCTAGTCCAGACAGGCAATCTCAGACTTATTTCTTATTTTCTAGTGAAACAGACTGAGGGTCACACCCCAGGCATAGGACAGGTCAGGGTGGACTTTGGATTCAGATGGGTCCTGGCCTCAGGCAGCCTGGCGCAGGCCATTCACTCTCTCTAAGTCTCAGTTTCTTTACTGTAAATCTGGTAAAATGAATGAATCTTTCCTGTCCCCAGGGCCCCCAGGACAGTTCAATGGGAATAAGCACAAGACAAATGCTAGCTCTCAGCCCGGGCGGTCCCCATCCCTCTCCGCCCGCCTCAGGAGGCCGTCCCGTCAACCTTTAAAACACTCACCTCCCTCTGAGCTCGTGATGACGACGACTCTTGCCTCTGTCTCTGCGCCCACAGTATGTGAGGGAATGAATGAGCGAATGTAGGCATGGCCTGCATTTGCTCGAGCTGTGAAGAAGTGCTTTGGCTGAGAAAGTAAAACCCAGATTAGGAGTACTCTCTGTTAATGCTTCTCTGGAGTAAAAAAATCCCTGCAATGGAGGAAGGCTCTGAAACAATAAATCCTCCATCTCTCCCGTCTCACTTCTCCTCCGCTCTGCGGCAGGATTTGTCAGGATGATCTGTGACTCACAGACGAAGCTGGGAGAGACCCCTTGACGGGTCCCCGAGCGCCTCTCAGCACCATCTCCTCCTCATCCATCATCCGGGACGATTCCTAAAGAATGAACACATCAAGCTTGCTGTCACAACATTTTAAAATGTTGCAGTAATTAGCAACCACCAGTAACTTCTTTTCAAACAGATGAGGCTGTCTTTTCAAACCAGGGCAATGGAAACACCCCCCACGCCGCACACCTGAGCCCGCGCACGCCCTCCCACTCTGTCCGCCGGCGCACTCGCTTGCCTCATCCTCTCACTCTTGCACACTTTGGTACCTCATCATTCTCCTGGGCCCGGCTGAAGGACATCCAGCCTAACAGCCCCAGGATGCGGGGCGCACTCTGCCTATTCAACATCACAGAGTAATCACAGCGACTGGCAGCTGCCCAGCCCTCAATCGTTTCATCTCTTCTCCAAAAGGGCTTGACTTTGACCTGCACAGATCATCTGGAGTTGAGTGGAAACAGGTTCCGTGACACAAACGGATCAAAGGGGCTGTCGCTGGGTCCAATCAACTGCAGAACCTCCCACAGCTGCAGGCTAGGAAGACGAAAGAATTCAACCACCACCAAAGGTCAATCTGGTGCAACCACTTCAATAGTTTGGCCTGGCACTGATATGAGGAAGAGGACCCTCTTTCAGTGTGCTGAGATCCACCGAGCAGCTGAATGGAGGTCGGTGCTGGGGGCTGGGGGCACCCACACAGACCAGCGAGCAGCTGCCCTTCTGGAATCTCAGACTTCCAACGCCGAGGGGTCCTGGGTGCCAGCTGTGCTGCAAGTGGACAGCCAGCCTCTTCCCAGACGTGACTGGACATGGTGTGCTCACTCCTTCCAGAGGGTTCCCAGAAAGGGAACAGGAGGAGCTCCTGGCCATCGTTCTCATCACTCTCCACAGCCTGGCAGAAACCTTATTCCTCGAGCGCTTTCTTCTTTCTGCCTCTGCAGAATGAGACTCAGCCATCAACAGCAGCTGCTCACATCCTGTTCCCAAGAACCTCGTTCCCTCCATGCGAGTGTGCAGGGGACTGCACATGGGTGCAGTGTGATTGGAATGTCAGGGGTTCCCCACCACCGCCGGTTTTGTGTTTTCCTCTGCCTCCAGCCAGTGAGCACCTCTTGCCCACATACACATCCCCAGAGAGAAAGAAATGCTGATGCCTCTTCTTCAGGAGGCTGTAAGTCTTTGAGCAATAAGGCTATCCGCCGTCGACTCCAAGAAACCGATGGGCACAGAGGTCCTGCTTGTATAGCGTCAGGCTGATCTTACGAAAGCCCCGTTTGCCCCAAATGGAAAACGAACCTTTGTAAACTGCCACCCATAAACCAATGTGTTGGGGGTTGTTCAACCAGCGAGGCCATCTGTTGGATTTGACTTACATCCACAAAGCTCTGTGTTATGGGACGATGCGGCTGGTGGGGACAGAGTAGCTGCCGTTGGCTGAGATTGCCATATGACTAAACAGCATATTGTAGTGGAAGAAGCACCAGTCCGGTGGCGGAATGCCGCTCCTCCCACCTCCAGGCCTGTTTTTGGCCAACCTAAAAGAACTGTGTGTAACTAGGATCCTTTTTTTGAACGCACCAGGAGAACTTGCTGTTTAGGGAATCCTGATGATGAATTGTTTTTATAAAGTCAGGCCAGAGACTCTTCCTTATCTTCATCTCCCCCCAACCCATTTTTATTTTCTGAAATTGAGTTTTGCTTAAAATCAGGGCACACTTTTGCACATAAATAATGAGTTTGGTGGTGATCATCCGGCCACTCAATCCAAATGAAATCTGTTCGGTGTAGCCGCCTCTGCTGGCTGTGTGACCCTGGGTGAGTCACTTCACCCCTGTGTTACTGTCCGTAAAGTGAGGGCAATCCAGGCATCTATTGTACATGTCGTGGCTAGTATTCAGTACTCTTTTAAATAAAATGGGCTCAGTTTTAAATATGGCTTCGTCATCACAGGCATCAGGAACACATCTCTCCACACTGCACAGGAAAGAAACCAGCACATCAAGAGGCCAAGAGCTACAGAGTCTGAGCTGGTTCCGTAGAGGTTTCCAGCTGCTCAGATCCACAGCTGCAGGATTCTGCAGAGTTTGAGTGAAAAGTCAGCACGGAAAGATGTGGAAGGGCATTGAGGTAGTTGGTAAAGACAGGGTTTGTCAGTGATGTTGCTTTTAAAATTCTTGGCACACACTTGCAACTCTCAAATAAAAAACAAGTTGCTCAGTTGTCATAATAGGGATTTTGACTAAAAATGATGATTTAAAGGATTCCTATGTCAACTCCTAGAACATCGATTGGCTGGCTGCTTTGCCTCTTCCTCCTGGCTCTCTTTCTCTCTCTCTCTTTCTGTTTTTCTCTTTCTCTCCTTATATGGAATTTCTATCCGTGTTTACCATCCTTTTTTCTAGGTGGAGCTGGTTGGGAAGAATGTGGAAGTTCTAGAAGAAGGGGGTTAGGAGCAATGCCTTGCGAACAGGCAGATCCGCCTCAGGTCTGCTGCTGTTGAGCCTAAAGTGCTCACCTGCAAAGTCAGGGTAATGACAGTATCTGTATCTCATCAGATAGCTGAGAAGACTAAATGAGACAATGCTCGCAGGGCGTTTAGCCTTGTGTCTGGCACGAGTTAAGCACATAATGAGTGATGTTTATCATGAGACAAGTGCCTGGTGGGAGCAGGTACTGCTCGCAGTTAATTAATGAATCAAACACAGCCCCTGGTCCCTTGGGAAATGAAGCAGGTGATGTTTAATTAACCTGCTTAGAAGAGAACGAGAAACTCATGGGGGTGGGGACCAGCTTTTCCTATTAGTTAAGAGAAATGCAAGACTCGCCTGGTTTGTTATAAGAAAAGTCATTATGGTTAAAGTGACCTGACCAGCCCTGAGAAACTCAGCAGGGGCCCTTGCCAGGGGCCCCAGCCAGGGCGGCAGCGGGCTGGACATTGGGAGCCTGTGTGTTTGGCCTGAGTACTCACGCTCTTGCCTGTGGGAGAGTTGCTCACCCATCTGTGTTCAGCCCATCTGTAAAAGGGAAATGGACTCCCAGCACTTCATTCTTCTGTCTGTCATCAGAATTCTCGCCTCTAGAATAGGAGTGAAGAGAGGTTATGGTTACTACCAGGATGGAGCTTTTTACAGAAAACTTAATGGTAGATCATAATGAAAGCAGACATTTAAGGCCAGGTGTGGTGGCTCACACCTGTAATCCTAGCACTTTGGGAGGCTGAGGCAGGAAGATCACTTGATGTCAAGAGTTCAAGACCAGCTTGGCCAACATGGTGAAACCCTGACTTTGCTAAAAATACAAAAAGAATTAGCTGGGTGTCATGGCACATGCCTGTACTCAGGAGGCTGAGGCAGGAGAATCACTTAAACCCAGGAAGTGGAGGTTTTGTGAGCTGAAATTGTGCCACTGCACTACAGCCTGGGCAACAAAGTGATACGCCAAAAAAAAAAAAAAAAAAAAAAAAGCACACATTTATATGGTGCATTTCTACCAGGCACAGCTCTGAGTGCTGTACATGTTCTAACACAAACCCCTTCTTAGCACAGCTTTCTCTCCATTCAGGGTCCCTGCAGAAACCTCCTGGGGCACTCCTCTCAGGCGCAGGAACCTTAGGTCAGACAGGTCCCCTCCTACCCAGCCCAAATCTGCCTTGCTTTAAGTTGGTTCTAGCTCCGCGCTTTGGGGACAGGGAAAAGGGATCTGCTCCACTTCATCGTGGATGTGGGAGAGATCCAAAGGCAGCCGCCAGGCCCCAAACACCCTCCCACGGGGAGCAGAGTGAGCCCTGCCCCTCCTCTCAATTGCTCCGAGGTTGCTAACCCAGAGAAGGGAAACAAGCGATAACCAGGCGAGCATTTATTAAGCACTTATGGTGTGCAGGGCCTCCACACAGCATCGGATTTCATTATCAGACCAATCCTCAAGGTGCTGGTGTTAACTCCCCATTTTAAAGATAAGAACCAGCCGCTCAACCAGGGTAAGGGACTTGCCCCACTGTGGATAAGCAGCAGCTTCGACCTGACTCCAGATCCCAACGCTGTGGAAGCCGGAACGCCCCAAGAACAGGCGGAGAGCAGAGGGGCACCGCAGGGCGCGGGCCGGGGTGGGGGCGCCCCCAGGCTTCGCCCGAGGTCGCTTGGACCCGGCGACAGAGGACAAGCCGTCAGCACCAGGGACAGCTCCCCGGGCCGCTCCCGGCATCCCCGACGACTGCGCGCGCGAGCCGGCGACGCGCGCTCCCCGCCAGGCTCGGCCGCGCGCCCTCCCCACCAGCGCGCGCCCTGCGCTCGGGACTGGGCTGGAACCGCGCGTGCCGCTCGCAGGGAGCCAGCCCGGGCGTCCGGAGCCGCGGCCGCAGCGCGGAGCTGGCAGGGACGCTCGCCCGGGCACTCAGTCGCCTCCCCGGGGGCCTCCCGGGCCTCGGCGCCCGCCTCGTCCCCCCAAGTCCCACCAGGCGTCACCGCCGTGGCCTGGGCTTGAGCGGACGCCGCTAGCTGCGTCCTGCCCGGGACGGACGCCCGCCCGCCCCGTCACGTGCGCCCAAGTCCTCGCGGCCGGGGCAGCGCCGTTCCCATGGTTCAAGGTAAGGGCTGAGCGGGCCGCGGGTCACGGGATGTGGGGCAGAAGACGCAGGCTGGGAAGCTCCAGCTAGGTGTCCACTCGTCCGGAGTGCCCACGGCAGCCTGCCCCGGCTGCCTCGCACCGGCTCCCCTGACCCAGCTAGCGTCACCCATCCCAGGGCATCCACCCTGAAAGCGCACCCCTGTGGAGGAAGCTGAGACCCAGGTGGGCACAAGGGCCTAAGGGAGAGGTGGGGGACCCACTTTAGGAAGCAGCGCTTCTTTCCCTCGGAACAGTGGCCTGGGGGTGGGGGGCAGAGGGGAGGGAAAGTTTCCTGGAAGAACCCACTGGAAACCTGGCCCCACTCTCTCTCTGCCAGGAGCTAAGATTTTTCTTTTGCTGAGCTTTGCCTTCTGCTAGGGCTGGTGCCACATTGTCATCCCATCCCATTTACCCAACACCTGCGAGAAAGGGGCATTGGCCCCATTTCACAGATGTAGAAACTGAGTCTCAGAGAAGTTTGGTCTCTTGCCCAAGGTCACACAGTGGGGAAGTGGTGGAGCTGGCCTCAAACACCAGCCTCTGTCAGCACCACCTCACACCTATGTCTGCTGGAAATCTCTGCTTCAGTGACATGTTGGGGGGCACCTGATTGCACTGGGTTTCCCCAGCCAGAAAGGCTCAGATTCTAAACACCAAAACCCAAGAGATATTTGACATGGGTCCTCAGGGCTCCATTGTCTCACCCCACTCATGTCCTGTCCTTCCACTGCCAGGGGCTGCCTGGGCACAAGTGGTCCTGCCAGTGTGTGTCCTGCAGCAGCCCTGATGGCTCTGAGACAAGAAACTCGAGGCCCAAATTCATGGACCCTTCTGCAGGGTAAGGGGAGTATCCTTGAGGCCTGAGCCCCAGCATTCATCCTGGCACCTTCCCCAGAAAGTAGGAGCGCAGGCAAGCCAGCGGGCCACCCTGCCAGCCTTCTCCCTACATTTCCCTCAGCCCTGCCAGCCCCAGCTCTTCGTGGCTTCTGGGGAGAGCAGTAACTGCCAACCCCCAAAAAGTTCCAGGTTGCTGGAAAAGCACCCTTGCCCATCTTCCCACCTTCTCCCTCCTTATAGAATTGAGAGTGGAGTAGAGGTGACCAGGGCTCACCCACCTGAGCAGGTGAGAACCAGCACTTCCTGGGCTGGGCAAGGACTGCGTTTAACTCTTGGTGCACTGGCTGCAAGCTTCCTAAACAGCTTAGGTGCTGGCGGCTTTTGAAAAAAATCTCACCCTAAGGCTCGGGGGCCCAGGAAATGTGGGGTTTTGTTCATTCGGTCTTGCACTTGCTGGCAGTTTGTTGAGTATCTGCACGATGCTATGAAAAAGACCCACAGGGCAGACTTTGTACCCTGGATCCGGCTGGGTTTTGGTTTCCCTGTCAGCCGAGTTTCCAATGGGGCTGGCTGGTCTGGACTCGCTTGGAAAGCTTGGAAATGGCTCCTGAAGGATATGGGGGTCTGGGAAGGATCCACAGGCTCTCCCAGCCTCTGTGCCCCAGTGCATGGGAAGGGAGTGGGAGCTCTGGGGTGCATTGCTGGATTCTCAGGACGTGCCAGCACCGCTCAGAATGCTGGCACACAGAGGCAGTGTCTCCAGCCTCGCCTCTCCAGCAGGTAAGGGAAGGAACCCCACAGAGCTCCTCCTAGCCTTGAGGCTGGAGTCCCCAGCACACATCTGTCGTGCCAGTTCCGTCAGCAAACATGAACAAGGGTGCCTGGGGAAAGGTGGGCACAGATGGAGAAGTCAGGACTCATCTGCCAAGTTCTGTCCACCTTTCTGGGTGACCTTGGGCAAGTCACTTTCCTCTCTAATCCTCAGTTTCCCATGTACAAAATTATGGGGGGATCATTTAATGTCCCCTCTGAGCCATTGCAGCTCTGTTCATCGAAGTCCCGGATGGAGTACGGAGGCTGGCAGGAGTGCAGCCCCTTCCTTCCTGCCATGGTATTGAGGGAGCACAGAGTAGTTGTGAGATCTTCGGACTGACCTGAGTCCAAGCCCCCGATCCCTGCCAACACTATTCCCTACTCACACATGATCACCCCAGTTTTGTATATTTAGGGGCTGACTCTATATTCCTGACTCTTCTGGTGCTGGTTCTGGGTGAGGCTTCACAGCATGGGGACCCACCCCTGCAGTGAGACCTCTGGCTCCTGCCACGTGGTCCTGCCTCTGCAGCCTCATGGCAGCGAGCTCCAGGGAGAAATAATTACAGCACTCGGGAGGGGAGAGATTTATTACATCTCTGTCAATTATCTCTGACTCTAAAGTCTCAGGGCAGGAGGGGAGGCTGAGTAGCAGCCAGGCCCTTGTCCTGTCCTCCACTCAGCTCCTGGCCCCACTTCCCTCTCCAGAGTAGCAAGTCCTGATCTATGTGTCAGTAAAATGGCAATTTGTGTGGCAAGGAGAGTGGGTTCCAGGCCAGACCACAGGCACATCACTCGGCACCCCCATCTGCAAAACCGAGGGTGCTTCTGCCTTCCCTGCTGGCACATGTGGCACTGGGACAACTGTGAGCCTGGGTGAGAGGCTTTTCGACCCTGAGAGCATGTGGTCCCTGGGCCACCCTGCAGAGCTCACGGTGGGGCTGGGGGCTTCCCAGCCGCTGCTGCCACACTTGGTGCCAGTGTTCCTTGTAGTGTCTCTCCCTTTGGATTTGCTCCAGAGGGGATTTGAGAGTTCTGAGGCTTCAGTGTTTGCCAGCTCCTTCCCTCCACTGCAGAATCCTCCCGCAGCCCTTGGCCTCAGCCCCGTTTGCTGGGGGCTGCTCCGGAGGGGAAGGACTCCTGTGGCCCATAGGGTGAAGTGAGCTGGTGGAGGCAGAGTTCGAGGCCCGGCTTTGCTGCTTTCTGGTTATGGGACCCTGGGCCAGAAGGTCTTGGGCTGGGAAATGGAGACTGTGCCTCCTTCCCTGGGGCCTCATCAGTGAAGGAAGGGGCTGGAGAGGCAGGTGGGGTCCAATTTGGCCAGGCTTCTAAGCCCTGCTCAGTAGTCAGGCTTTATGCCACAGTCCACAGGAACCAGGCCTTGTGAGCCTGAGGGACATGGTCAGCTCTGGCCTTTAGGGGACACTCTCTGGCCACACCATGGGAAATGACTTGGAGAGGGGCACTGCAGACAGGAGGCTGGGGAGAAGGGAAACAGTGGGGGCCTGGACCAGGGTGGTAAGGAGAGGGCAGGTGACAGGCATGTGGGGGGCTGGATGTTTGTGTGGGGGTGGTGGGAGACAGCCTAGGACTGCGCCAATATCACACCTATACCACTCTCAGGCAGCGCTGGGCACTTGGGATGGGCCGCCCGCAGGCAGTGAGGATGCAGCCCCAGGGCCAGGGAGGACCGTTGTTTCAGCAGGAGCTCAGCATCAGTGTCAGAGCCGGCATCCCACTGGGCTGGGCGTTGCGCCTGTGCTCTGGGTGCTCCCGGCCCTCAGGTAGGCATGCCTGTGGGAGTGGGTCCCTGCCAGACCAAGCTATCACCTCCGCCCTTGTGCTCAGTGTTCCCAAGTGGCAGAGGTGGAAGAAGGTGGCAGCAGCTGGGAGGCTCAGGTGGAGGCCGGGCAAGGACAGGGACAGAGGACCCCAAACAATCCAGGCTCCCAGGGCCACCAGCTCATCCACCACGTTCCCTGGCTACTGAGGGTGGAGGTATGGCTGACTGGACAAGAGCACAGCTGCTGGAGCCGAGCAGAGCCGTGTTCTATCCAAGCTGTGTGTCCCTCGTGAGGTTTCTCAGCCACTCTGGGCCCCAGGTTCTTCATTCATAAAACAGCAATCATTACATCTGTCACGCAGGATGTGTCAGCTTACCTCCCAGCCAGCAGACCGGGAGAAGAGCCCATGCCCGGCTGAGCCCTAGCAAAAACCTCCTCCAGGCCAGGTCCCCCCCAGGCAGCCCAGGCCTGTGCTCACTTCCTGGCTCTGCCGTAAGGTGGCGTCAGGGCCAGCGGGCCTCAGACTGCACCTGGCAGGCAGGCAAACCCCACACCGTGGGGCGGCTTTAGCTCCTGACCTCAGTGTTCACAAACAGAACCATCGCCACCTCCACCTCTGTTCCTCATGAGCAGGTCCACAGTCTCTGTGTGCAACAGGCTGGCCCTGTCTGGGAGCCGGGCCTGCTGGCAGGTCCCAGATCCCTGGAGAATCATCCTCTCTTTTGTAATCATCCTCATTTGCATTTGCTGTATTTGGCTGCACTAACTTATAGACATGCATCTGAAATCACGCTACTCCAGATGGGGGTTGAGGACCAGCAGCAGCAGCAGCCCTGGGAACCCGTGAGAAACGCAGGTTCCCAGGCCCCCAGACCTGTTGTAACCTGCCCCCAGATGATTCCTGTGTTCGTGGAGTTTGAGACTCACCGTCTACCATGGCAGAAAAGAGATTCTACTCGCATAAAGCAAGGGGGACTGTCTCCCTCATGCTCCTTACATATTTAACTAACGTATATTAAGTTTGAACATCTATTAAAGGGTGTTTGAATAAAAGAAGCACATGCTTTCAGTAAGAAAAACCAGGCAACTCAGCTGTTGTTGGTTGGCTGTTTTTTTACCAAGTAGAAGTCCCCGGTTTCCTGGGTGTGGCCTGCCCCCCAGTGCTCTGCTGTGTCAGCCACACGGGCACCCCC